CTTTCAGGATTGCAAGGAACAGTTGGCATCACCAGCAGGATGGAATAGAGATAATAGAGCTTATTTCTGTTGGCAGACTTTTGAGGCCCTGGAGGCACTGCATGTGCATGTAGCATGTGCCCACAGGGTCACAGAGTACTGTGGGATGTTGGGCTTTGAGGCCCGGTTCTGCCAAAATGACATAGAGAAGGTAGGACTACATCAGCTGAGACACCACGCTATGTCTCCTAGACGCAGTAAAGAACGACTACCAAGAGGCTCTAGCCCATTCTTAAGGCCATTACTGTTGTGGACGCAATGGTAGAGCCGTCTATTTCGCAGGCATCAGTAACAGACATGAAAAAATCAGGGACATAGACGACAGTAACAGATGCTACCAGGGTAGGGAAAACCCCTTGTGGGCGGGGCCAAATCCCATCCAGGGATCAACCCAGGGATCTGCCATTGCAAAGGAATCCGCCAAGGGATCTGCCAAGGGATTGGTTCCAATGCAGGGAACAGCTTAGGGATTGGATCCAACACCGAGATCAGGTAAGGGACCAGATGAATCTAATCTAGCCCAAGAATTGTTGGATTGGGTACAGACCTGCCTTGATGAGAAGGAGGAAGATGCAGTTGACAAGGGAGGTACTGGTCGGTCGGGAGTCCAGCCAGTCTCGACTTTGATTGTTGATTGTGATCAGGAGAACATTGATATTATTTGGACTTTTTGAGATCAGTTTGTGACTTTTTTAAAAATCCTTAAATGGTTTGTGCTTTTGGAAAGTATAATTGCTTGTTGTATTTTGTTGGACAATCTAAGTGCATTGGGAGTAAATGGGGACTTTTCTGGGTGATAAATTGTTTTGTTGTTGTCTTACTTTTTGCCAAGTTTTTGTGAATGCAGACCTTGATCATGAAACTTTACTCTGGTAATCAGCTGTGATGGTGATAGTGGGTTCGTGGCTCCAGGTGTGAAGTTCCTCATAAATTATATCTTATGAATCAGTGTTAGGCCTTGAAAATGCCTTCGGTTGCAGAAATTGTGGAATTTAGAAAAATACCTGGGAATTCCCTGTTACTCGTTTACAGCAAGGTGATGGGGGATCCATATGTTGCCTTGAAACCGGAATCCTAGAAGGAATGTGCTCACCCAGCATTCAAGAAGTCTCTGAGGTTCCCAAGAGATAATTGAAATATAAAACCACCAATAACCCACATTAATTAGAATCAATCTACAGAAAAAGTTTTCTATGGTCTACTAAGTCAAACAATAGATCGTATGAGCGATAGAGGTTTGAAAGAATAGAACAAAGAAATAATTGTTTTAATTAACAAGTAGCATTTTTCAAGTAGAATCTTTAGGTTCAAACATTTGAGGTTTGAGAAGAGAAATAAAATAGTGGAATTTAATTGTTTCGATCCATTTCAATTAATATCTTGAGGTAGAATTTCTATAGTCTATCCTGATTCGAACATAGGTCATTTGGATGGCAGAGGTTTAAGCAGTGATAGAGAGGGATTTAAGATGATTACTCTACATGATTAATTGGCAATTGAACGATAAGTTGAAGTGATTTATATTAATTTGTACTTATTTGCGGGTGAAAGATTAGGCTATACATATGCATATCGGGAAATCTGGGCTAAATTGTGACAGGAATTGATCATCTTCAGTTTGTCTATTTGTCTATTAAATAAGAACATTTGAGGTTTGAAAGAAATAGTTGAAAATATAGGGAAACTTTGAACACAATTAGAATCAGGGAACAGTTACTTTATTCGCATAGCTATGGCTAATATTTCTATTGTCTATTTAGTTCAGTCAGAGATCACTTTATGTGATAGAGGATTGGGAGAGAAATAGAAGTGGAATAATTATCCTGCTATTAAATCTGTTATTATTTACAACTCATCTGTAGCCTTTAGAGAGGAAAAGCAGGTAATATCCTTTCTGAGTTTAAGTTAGCCTTGCCCAAATTGGTATTTTTCACTTATCTGATTTTGAATTATTACTGCCTTGTACAATCTAATGCATCACCGCTGATATTATGATAAGTTATCCAGCTGTTTCAAGATTTCCATAATTCCTACGCTGTGAGGGGTATCACGAAACCATATTGACAGAACGCGTGGACACGACATGTGACTTCAGGCTGATTGACCAATCAAAATGTTTTCAGGTTTACCTGCATAACAAAGCAAACTACACATATACCACTTGAAATTCAATGATCTGATTGAGTACAGAATGTTTTGTAATTAAATGTACATTGGAATATAAGCAGTCATTAATATAAATTAAATCATGCAATCTAATGTTGATTTAAACTGAATTCGCGATGAAAATGCACGAAGACCTAGTCCATGTAGTCGTTGATCTAATTCAGTGATTGATCTGAATCTCGGCCTAGATCTAGCTAATATGTCCGACAAGTTCAGAGATCTTTTCAACATTTCTTGATGAAATCTTCTCATCTCCTGATGCTCCGGCATCCACGAAACTCTGATTGATATTCATCTGATCAAATATTTGTATATTTTCACTATAAAATTGTGCAAGATTTGCAGGAGAATTTGTTTGTGAAAAGTGTACTTGTCCTGACCGTGCATAATAATGAGCTTATGCTGCAAGGTCATTGTGATTGGTCAAAATTACCGACATAAACATTGAGTCGGTTAAGCACGTGGCTTTCTCATTGGTACAAGGCAGTCATAATAGAAATCAAGATAAGTAAAAGAAAATGACTTAGGCAAGGCTAAGTTTAAGTGAAGAGAAGAATCAATTAATTAGAGTCCAATTAACCGGTTATTTTTGAGTGTTGTGGGTAATTTGTAATTGAGTTAACACTTTAACTTGATTATTGTAACAGCTGTTTAACAACCAGAGAACATTATATCATAAAAACCCGCGTGGGCTTCGCATAAGCTGGTGCTGTTAATTTTCTCTACTCTGGCTAGATTAAGAGCTCCAATTCGTCATTGTGTAATTTATGAGGTTTTGACCCTTTTTCTCAGGCCCCTTCAGGCTCCTGTTTTCGCTGTTTGGATGTTTAGAGGAATTGTTGCATATGGGAATTAGGTTTCTGAAAGTGGTGTTTAAATAAATAGGGTTGTCATTCGAGGTTCAGAAAGACATATGTTAAAACTCATAATAGGCCTTTTGAGTTGTAAAGGGAATTTAGAAATTGCATAGTAAGAGGTGGAGTAACAAGGTGTTGATAAATTTAATAGGGAGTAAATCTTCAGGGTCTATTTGTCTCTGAGTGAGTACTTGTGCACTTTGAGTAAATCGTACAATCAGCTGTTGAGACTGTTGAGTCCCTTGGGCTTTTGTTTTGTTCAATTCTGTGTGATTAGGGATTTAATACTTTCTGGTGTTTATAGAGGGCGTAAAATACAATATAGTTAGAAAGCTCACTACTTCAAGTTCAAGTTGACCTTATGTATTATAGTGTACATTCTACATCAGAAGTATAGAAAGTATCCATTTGAAACACTTAATAGACTATAGAATTCTTGTTTGTATAAAAGGGTAAAGTCTCATGAAAACGCAATTATAGATATTTAAAAAAAAATTCAAAATATTCTTCACTGATATGTGTATTTTCATTTTCTTGAAAAATATAGTGGATATTTTTGTAAAAATATGATTTCTGGCCCATTTCTGTAACCACTCCCATCATGGCAATTAGTTGTGAAATTTAGTGTTCTTTAGAAAATGTAGTAAATAAAGCCTGAAAAACAATTTTCAAGTAGTATTTAAGTGAATTATTCATAATGTAATCCCTACTGAAAGGTATCCAGCAGATCTATTGTGATGATGCATACATACTTATATGTAGCATAAAAAGGGATTATAATCCAGACCCCCATTATTTACCCGTCTCAATTGAACATGAACCATGGTTTCTTAATGTCTCAGGCTTACCTCGCAGTCACAATTATTGAGGTTATGTCCTGATAAAAGGGCTGTTTTTGTATGCTTTGTGCTGCTTTAGAAGGGCCGCCCTTACTGACCTCACAATCTTCAATTATATGCGTTTTACTGGAGCTGTGTTTTTTGGCATTACTCATGGGTTATGATTATATGGCTTTTGCAGATAAGAGTGTTTGCTATCCTGCATATGCAATTCAGGTACTCATGACCTTGTTTATAGTATTGTTCCTTATCCAGTGTAGCTTTATTTGGTTATTGTTGCAAGGTTATGCCTTTTACGGGCTTCACGTGGCTTCGCATAATTCGCTATCGCTGTGTTGCTACTAGCTCTGATAATTCCCGCAGTCGCAATTTGGGAATTTGCACTTCACCAATGTGGTTGGTAAATACAGCTTATAGGTGTGTTTGCATTCATACCTTCACTATTGTTTTATAATTCCCTTGCCGGAACGTACTTTATGGTTGTATGTGAGTGGTTTTTAGCAATACTGGCCTGACAATCATGCTTTGCTTTTCATCAGGTTACTCTCTTGGGCATTCTACTTATTATTAAGAAATAATAGGCTATCCCGTTTTTATGAAGTACTGCAGATCGCTGTTTTATTTAATGCATTCGCTTCTTTGTAACATAAGGCAGCATTTTTATTGTTTTGCTCTGTTCTGACTACCTTGCGCCATATCCAGATATTTACTTTCAGATTGTTACAGATACATGTTTGGTTGAGGGGTCACTTTGGGAACATGGTGCAGGGTAGTCATACTTTGTTTTGGTAGAGTTAACACTCTGCTCAGGGAGTTTAATATGATCTTTTATTGTAGGTTTAGTTCAAGATGGACAACGCACCAGGGATTCCTACTCAAGGGGTTTTCCTGAATGCTCAAAGGGTTTTTGATCAAGAGGGAAGGGGCCTGATAGACCTTCAACCCATTGGACGTCAAGGACAAGTCGACAGGGGTCAGCAAGGGGCATTTCAACAACAGGCTCCAGCCGCTATCGGCCAAGTACAGGATCAACAACAGGCTCCGGCCGACATGGGTCAACAAGAACCAGACAACAGGTGCCAGCTGACAGGGGTCAGCTAGGCCAAAACCAACAGCAGGCTCCAGCTGACGTGGGTCAGCGGGGTCACAACCCTCAACAGGCTCCAGCCCATATGGGTCAGATTGGACAAATCAAAACTTGGAGCACCAGTCAACATGGGACAACATGGACAGAATCATCAACTTCCAGCCATACAAAACCAACAAGGACCAGCCGACATGGGTCAGCTTGGACAGGGACCAGGCTTCAGGGATCATCTGTTCAATCAACAACAAGCACCGCTTGGTATGGTCCAAGGGATGCAACAGGGGCAACCAGCCACCGGGGACCATACACAGAACGTCAGAGGTTTTCAACAGACCATGGTACAGGGGGCAGGCCTACTCAATATGGGCCAACAAATATCTTTTAGGCATGCAACAAACAGGTCAAGGCCAATTCCACCACCAATTAGGAGGCATACCCAATCCAATCGGTATGGGGCTGATTGGAAATCAACAGGGAATGCCTCAAAGACATTCAAGTGTGGAAAACCTGATAACTGACAATGTAACTACATCTGTAGTAAACACACCAATTAGAGACAAATATCACACTCCTATGGCTGCTGTAGAACCAATAGGAACTGTTCCTTCTGTAAATGATACACAGCTGTCAGCAATTGTATCCCCAGAAAGACCCTATCCTCAAAGACTAAGGAAGCCTCCTACAAGGCTTGATTTGTGAACAAGTATCTTAAAAGGGAAGATGTCATTAATTTATATGTATTTAGTGGTGTGAGACCTTAAAGGCACATTGTAAAATACAGCCAACAAAATGGTTCGAAAAATCTTTTTCAGGCTTTAGAGTCAATTTCATGGTTTTAAACCTTCTCTGATGATTCTTTTTTCGAACTATGCATGCAGATCCATTCAAAGACATATTGAACCTTGAAAAGCCACATATAGACTGAGGATTGAATGGTGTTCACGACAACTTTCAGTTCATCTTTATTAGGACAGACCAGGAGTGAATTTTCGAGTTGAGCAAATGCTGATAATGTTGTTTTTATGAAGCAAGGAAGTCAAAAACATTACAAATAGAAATCATAGTAGGATCATAAGAAGCATTTAAAATCGAATCCACGGCAAAATCAGAAATAATTAAAATATTCCACACAAACCTCAGAGAAAACAATTCCCGTTTTATAATTCATGATTTTATCGATCAAAAAATGTTTTTATGAATTTTTTCGATATCTGCTGAAATATGGTATGTATACTTGTGTTTATTGTTAAATTACAAAATAAGTAGGGTAAAGAATATGTAAAAGTTGTTTGATATTGTCAATATTTTGTTATTTTTATCACCTAGCATTCCTTTAATTGATAACTGTGGAGTTATACCATATACATACATCAGATTTAAGGTACAGTTGGAAAATAACATTTTGGGAAAAATGGCTCTACCTGCACATGTTATTTTATGGTACAATATTAGGTATGAAAGCATGTGTATATTTCCTTGCTTTTTTCAGGAAAGTATCATTACATTGTCTACTTTTAGTAAACCTGGAAACAAGTCAATGGTAGTTCCTGTGTTGTCTGGAAACTTTAAAGAAAATTTGAAGAAACACAAAGTATGAAATATCAGAATTTCCTGGAGTTCCCATTGACCTCTTACCAGATTTACTAAAAGAAGACAATGTCATGATACTTTTCTAAAAAAAGCAAGTAAATTCAGAGTCCACGGTCCAAATTTTGGGTACGGTACGGAATGGTACAAATGTGATCGGCATTTCGAATAGTCTGCATGGTGTACTATCACCAATTCGTTTACCTTGAGATATTGGAGTCCCAAAATACTTCCAATCTGTCAACTTTTTGACTTAGATGCCGGATTGATTTTTCAATTTCTTTTCTACATCCGGTATACTGATAATACTCTTGATTTGCGAACGACGATGAACAAATTTACGAACATGCATTACCATCTACCTGAAATTGCGGGTCCATTGATAACACTTTTCAATGCAAAAAAGTGTAATCTAGGTATGAGGTAAGTGAAAATATTTAATTTTTATGGACCTATATTAAACCTTTCTGATCCATGTCCTGAACCGAAAAATCTGGACCGAAAATCAGTCCAATATCGGGGAACCGTGACACCTCTAGAAATTAACACATGCCTTCATACTTTATTTTGTACCAGAAATTAACATGTGCAGGTATAGCTTTTTCCAGAACTTAGTTGTAACAGCAGTTTTGTTCTATACATTATATGCACGGATAATGGGAAGTTCTCCATATATATACTGAATACTCCAGGTTTGGCATCTTGAATCAGAAAAAAACTGGCTCCGCACTGAGATGTTATTCACTGACATTATAGCTGGAAATAAATTTGTTATCCATAATATCGAAAGGTTTATACTTATGTCCCGATCACCTGTTATGTGTTTTGAATTTTTTAGTTTTGGAATAAGACCAAATCTTGGGATTAAAAATCTGAAGCTGGAAAAATATTCAAAATGGCAGAATTTAAATTTGTAATTATGACATCCTTTAGATCAGCCTATACACTCAGGACAGGCGAAGCAGGTTGCCATTCTAAATTCTCCTATTTAGTTCATTATTTGACCGGTAAAGCCAGTTTGAGGTGAGAAAAAAACTAGACAACAGCAACGCCAAAGTGTAGCAAATCCAATTGAACAGCCATGGCCGGCATTTTTACAAAGAATATAGCAAAAAATGGCAGCCATTTTTCAAAATGGCCACCTTCTACCAAAAGTGTCATTAGACAGTGTGCTATGCTTATATTATTCACATACCAAATATGAACAAAATCGCTCAACTACTTTTCGAGTTATCATAAAATATGGTAAAATGGTGGCCATTTTTCAAAATGGCCACCTTCTACCAAAAGTATCATTAGACAGTGTGCCATGCTTATAGTATTCACATACAAAATGTGAACAAAATCACTCCACTACTTTTTCAGTTATAGTAAAAACCGCCTTCAACCAAAAGTGTCACTAGACACTGTGCCATGCTTATTCACATACCAAAAATGAACAAAATCGCTCCACTACTTTTCGAGTAACAGCAAAAATCCTAAAATAATGAGTAAAGGCCGCCATTTTTCAAGATGGCTGCCATGTGCTTCTTTAATATCTACATTTCTAGGCTTATTAATGTCCTATATAATTTTTTTTTACATTTAAAACATATTGCTATTACAGTTCTACATATTGCACCTAAACTACTGTAAAATCGGCACTAAAATGACTGCCATTTTTAAATAAATGAGTGGCCATTTTGAAAATCAGCCTTAAAGCAGATTTTCTACCCCATGAGTATATGTGTACAAAATATGAACAAAATCGGGCCAACGGTATTTGAGTTATTGCCTTGATGGACGGACGCACGAACGTATAGACGGACATACAGACATACGTATGGTCGTATGTACAGACAGACAGATGGACGGGCGGAGGCGTTCCATATATCACTCCGTACTTTGTTCGATGGGATAATTATATTTTTCTAGAAGTGTTATGTTCATGTTTTAAGCATGCCAGGAGAATCATGTACAACAAAACAAGTCAAAAATAATTTTTTTATTTACCCTATTTTTCTTTTTTCAAACTCCCTTCCGCACTTGTATTGTAACCTTTAGATAACGCGGTCATAACATATCAACGGGGTAGCCCGACAGTCGTTCCAGGGTATTTCAATAAAGGGACCTTAGGGGGTACATGGGACAACCAGAGAGTTTCATTTCATTTTCAAAATGAGTTGGAAACCATAGATTTTTTATTGTTAGGTTTATATTGTATTCTATTCAAATTCTACTGATTGGTGGAAGAAAGGTCAGCGTGTAGGTCAGAAGTGGTTTATTACCCGAACTGTCACCGGCACCCGTCATGGGGGCGGGGCTACTAAACTGTGATATGGTTTCTACTAGGCAGAGCATTGGCGTCGGAAGGGGGGGGGGGGGGCGTTGGGGGCGACCACCCCTCTCCCCAATTTTTTTAAGATTTGAAATCGAGCCTAAAATATTGAAAGTTCTACAGCTAATTAATACGACTTTGAGGTTTGAAATTGCCACCACAAAACCCATCCAATCAACACTCACGTTTAACTCAACTCGTGCAGCGCTATTGACCAATGAAATGAGAGATACTAAAAAGTAATGGCGTGAAGTGAGATTTTGAAAAGTTGTAAAAATTATCGCACAAAAACATTAATAACATTGTAATAAGTGAAAATTGAAGGAACTTATAGGGCCAGACGATCCATATACATATCGCAATTATAAACTGAACGACATTAGAAGAGAAAATTGAGGAAATAAGGTAAATATTGTTGTTTTTTAAAAAAACTGAAAATAATTTTTGCCGCCTTGGTGCAAGTGTGGAGTGTCATAGTAATTTGGCTGTTTCAGGTATAATTGACCTAAAATAAAGCAAAATCCCACATAATCGCTAACTGGGAGGGACTGTCCAATTTTTTTCGGTTTCAGACTTATGTTTTTTAGACTTACATTTTTTTGATAAAAATATTCCAAGTAGTGCTACAGCAATATTGCAATATTCTTGTTCATTAATATTGATGTAAGATTAAGCAACCTTACCCTCAAAGCTCCCGGTACCCGGGAGGTGCTGTCCAATTTTTTCTTAGTCTTGAACTTGTATTTTTTCTACATTTTTGCTTAAATACTAGAATCTTAGATTTGCTTATGGTTGCAGGAGATCCTCGGCAGGGGATGGAGAGGATTCTCCACCAGTCGGTAGATTCTGCTACCAAGGAGGAAGCTCAGAGGAAGGAAGATCTTAATGCACTCCTCGAAGAAGTTGGGAAAAAAATTAGTACCGTGGGTACTGGGCTCACATGGTATTGCTCAAAAGTGAAAATAAAAAAGACGGTATAATTTTTTGCAGATTTTTTGTGACAAAATTATTTCATACAACTACTCTTTACAATTACAAAGACATGGCTTTTTACAATGCAGGACACCTGAACTTATTTGTAAAGCAAGGAAATGGGCCAAAAGTGAATTTCCCAAGACAAAAATGGTGGCCATTTTGAAAATAGGCGAGATTTTGAAGCAGGAGTCACAGTTTTTTTTTCTTTATTGATGTTGAACAAAAATATTTTAAATCGGGAATCCTATCTACAGAGGATTTAAAAAGAGCCAAGTATTGACAGAGGTTTAAAACTTGCCACTATTTTGGACTGACTGAGAGACAGATGGACGAATCAATGTTAACTAAAATGGCTGAAAATAAAAAAAAACGGATATAATATTTTGCCAATTTTTTGTAACAAAATTGTTTCATACAACTACTCTTTACATTGACATGGCTTTTTACAATGCAGGACAGCTGAAATTATTTTTAAAGCTAGGAAATAGGCCAAAAGTGAATTTCGCGAGACAAGAATGGCGACCATTTTGAAAATAGGCGAGCTTTTGAACCAAGAGTCATAGGAGAGTGTTTTGTATAGATGTTGAACAAAATTAACTTAAAACAGGAATCCTATCGACAGAGGGTTTAAGGCAAATGGTCCAAAAGTGGATTTTGCGAGACAGATGGACAAATCAATGTTAACTAAAATGGCTGAAAATAAAAAAATGGATATAATTTTTTGCTGATTTTTCGTAACAAAATTATTTCATACATCTACTCTTTACATTGACATGGATTTTTACAATGTAGGACACTCGAAATTATTTTTAAAGCTCGGAAATGGGTCAAAAGTGAATTTTGCGAGACAAAAATGGCAGCCATTTTGAAAATAGGCGAGCTTTTGAACCAGAAGTCATAGGGGAGTTTTCTGTATTGATGTTGAACAGAAATAACTTAAAACGGGAATCCTATCGATAGAGGTTTTAAAACGTGCCACAGAAAGTGGATTTCGCGAGTCAGATAGACAAATCAATGTTAACTAAAATGGCTGAAAATAAAAAAATGGATACAATTTTTCGCTGATTTTTTGTAACAAAATTATTTCATATATCTACCCTTTACATTGACATGGATTTTTACAATGTAGGACGCCTGAAATTATTTGTAAAGCTAGGAAATGGGTCAAAAGTGAATTTCGCGAGACAAAAGTGACGGCCATTTTGAAAATAGCCGAGCTTTTGAACCAAGAGTTATAGGAGAGTTTTTTGTATTGATGTTGAACAAAAATAACTTAAAATGGGAATCCTATCGACAGAGGGTTTAAGGTAAATGGTCCAAAAGTGAATTTTGCGAGACAGATGGACAAATCAATGTTAACTAAAATGGCTGAAAATAAATAAATGGATATAATTTTTCGCTGATTTTTCGTAACAAAATTATTTCATACATCTACTCTTTACTTTGCAATGGATTTCTACAATGTAGGACACTTGAAATTATTTGTAAAGCTAGGAAATGG